TCTGAGATCATGTTCAGGATGTAGTGATTTCTAAGCTCACATAGCAGACCCGTGTGATCCCAGACTCTTTCACTATTTGTCTGGTTTTCTAACGATAGGAGTAGGTGGGTGACATTCCTCGCCTCCCATTCCAAACAAATGTGTAGAGGGGTTATATTAAGGATAGTCTCATGGCGTCTGTAATGGACACGCACGCCAGTCGCTGAAGCTTAGTTAGCTTTGCTCTAGCTGTTGTCTGGAAGGCTTTGTTCCACCAGACCACCGCTCCATACATGAACATTGGTTTTATGATTGTTTCATAAATCCAGTAGATCTGCTTGGGGGCCATGCCCCAAGACCTGCCACAAATCCTTCTGAGATTCCAGAGGGATAATCTGGCCTTATTCATAGCTTTCTTCAGATGGGAATTCCAAGTTAATTTTCTATCGAGCCAGATATTTAACCTCCTCCGCAAATGGAATTGATTCGCCATACATAATTAGTTGACGAAGCTTGTCTAGCTTTCTCCTTTTAGTAAAAGGAATTACTGCTGTTTTGCGGGAGTTTACAGTCAGCTATTCCACCTCACACCATCTCGTAACCATGTTTAGTTTAGAGCGGTTTGCAGGATACCGAAAATGATTTCCTCATGTTTCCCTCTAACTACGATAACTAGATCGTCCGCTTAACACTTAATAATAATGCACTAATGTGTTGTTTATGGTACAAAGATTTTAATCTAATCTATTTTTGAAAATGTTTTTGCTTGATGCACTTATCGTTTCTGGGCTTAAGGAATTCCATTTATAGACTACGCGATTGGTCAAAAAGTTTTTCCTTCCAAGAAGAACAGTTCTCTCTTTTTTCAGTTTTTGGTGGTGTCCTCTGAGGTTTAAGTTTGGATTCATTTGGAACATATCTTCCAGTTTTAGGTCTGTAGAGTAGTGGCCATTTAGGATCTTATGTGTTTCAATCAGGTCTCCTCTCTCTCTTCTTTCTCTGAGTGTTGTCTCACACCATCTCGTAACCATGTTTAGTTTAGAGCGGTTTGCAGGATACCAAAAATGATTTCCTCATGTTTCCCTCTAACTACGATAACTAGATCGTCCGCTTAACACTTAATAATAATGCACTAATGTGTTGTTTATGGTACAAAGATTTTAATCTAATCTATTTTTGAAAATGTTTTTGCTTGATGAACTTATCGTTTCTGGGCTTAAGGAATTCCATTTATAGACTACGCGATTGGTTAAAAAGTTTTTCCTTCCAAGAAGAACAGTTCTCTCTTTTTTCAGTTTTTGGTGGTGTCCTCTGAGGTTTAAGTTTGGATTCATTTGGAACATATCTTCCAGTTTTAGGTCTGTAGAGTAGTGGCCATTTAGGATCTTATGTGTTTCAATCAGGTCTCCTCTCTCTCTTCTTTCTCTGAGTGTTGTCAACTGGAATTTTTGTAGTGTTATTTCGTATGGCAAATTTCTAACTTCAATTGGAATTTTGGTTATTTTTCTCTACACACCATCTAAGAGATCTATGTCTTTGATGTAGTAAGGAGACCAAACTGTGTGGCCATATTTTAGTTTTGGTCTAATGTAAATGGTGTACAGTTTTTTTTTTATCATTTTTACAGTTTCATTTTCAAAAGCTTGTCTCATAAGGTATATTAGTTGATTGGCCTTCTTTACTGTATGGGATATATGGGTTTCCCATTTCAGATCATCGGTGACATAGACTCCTAGGTCTTTCTGTTCTAAGACTTTTCTGAGTTCGCTGCTATTTATTTGATAGTTGTATCTAGGGTTATTTCGTCCTATGTATAAAACTGTAGGTACACTTTTTTTCATTTAGTTTTAGCTGTCATGTGGTTGTCCATTCTTCTACAGTGCTCATGTCTTCCTTTAGTTGCTGCAGTTGTGTTAAAGGATTTCCATATAGTTTTTTGTCATCTGCAAAGGATTTTACTTTGGTTTGAATAGTTTTTGACAAATCAGAAATGCACACTATAAAAAAAAGAGAAGCAAGTACAGATCCTTGCGGTACTCCGCTGACGACTAGGTACCAATCAGAGCTGGTTCCATTTGCTCGAACATAGAAAGTTCTTTGCTTAAGAAAAGAGCTGCTCCATTGTAGGTACTTGCCTCTTATGTGGTACTGTATCGAAGGCCTTCTGAAAGTTGAGGTATATGACGTCGATTGGCTTGCCTTCATCTAGGTTTGTAGACCAGTCGTCCAGGCAGCTGAGAAGATTGGTTGTAGGAGACCTTTTTGGCATAAAGCCATGCTGTGTAGGAGGTATGATGTCATTTTCTAAGAAAAAGGATGTTGTTTCTTTTACAAGAATTTTCTCAAGTACTTTGGACAGTATGCAGGTCAGGCTGATGGGTCTATAATTGGATAGTCACCACTTTTATAGATTGGTATTACTATAGCTTTTTTCCAGATCTCTCGTATGGTACCATTGTCTATTGAATCTTGGTATATTTGAGCTAATAAGGATGCTAGAGACGTAGCACATTTCTTTAGAAATATAGATGGTATCCCATCTGGGCCTGGACTTGAATAGGTTTTTAGGCTACTTAGAGCGGTGGTGACTTTTTTTGTTGTTATGTTAATGACAGTGTTTTGATTATTGTTCATCGTCTTTATGGGCAGAGTTGGCATGTTTGTAAGGTTTTCTCTTGTTGTAGATGATTCTGTGGACCCCCCTACGCTCAATGCTAGAGTATAAGAGGGATCTAGGTAGGGTATTGTTGAACGCTCCTTCAATGTCGAGAGAAGCTACCAAAGCAATTTCCTCCTGATTTAGGGACTGCTTGATTCTTCCTACGAGGTTGTTCAAAGCCAAGTCAGTGGACTTTCCAATCTGTTACGCATATTGGTGAGGACTTAGGGGATACTGCCCCAAGATCTTATCCTTAATATGCTAGTCTAGAATGCGTTCTAGAGTTTTTAAAAGAAACGAGGTTAGATTAATCGGACGGAAGGATTTAGGGAGGGCGTTATCCACCACTCGCACTTTGCGTATATATACAACCCTTGCTGGGCCACACTCGCTCCTAGTAATTTGGTGAGAGGAGGGATAAAGATATCCTTTCCCCTCTGCAATAGGGCGGGGAAGATTCCGTCTTCGCCCGGCGAGTTAAATGGGAAAAAGAAATGTATCGCCTACTTGACACTCTCTGGAGTACAAACCTTTCTTGCCATATCCCAGTCCTCACAGCTGTGTCTTATAGACAGCGCCATAGGAAGATACGGGGGCAGTGGGTCCTCCATTATTGAACTACCTGGGTAGTAGTAAAGATATTACTTTTCTAGATTAAGTTTTATTCAACATGTTTATTAATAATAGAATTGAGGAAACGATATTTTTTACATTATTGACACTGAACAACCAGATTAAAAACACCCCACAGAAACCTTATGAGAACTGGCCCTCAGTGGAATCTCATGAAATTTTGCATATTGATAGTTCTTAACCTATAGATCAAAAGTGTCCATGGCACAAAGTTCTAAAAATTCGCTTTTTTGAGTTAGAGTCATTTGAAGTTGCGTCATATGTGAAATTGCTCAAACCTTATACAGTCTAGTGTTTTCTGTTACTTCGTGAATTTTAGAACGACATATGCATATTCAGAGCTGGGCAGTAGCTAGCTACCAAGTAGTTAAGCTACTAACTTAGCTACTTTTTTGGTAGCTAATTCAAGCTACTTTTTAAAAAAAGTAGCTTGTAGCTGTAGCTTTTGGTAATGTGTTCCATGTATTCATAAGCTACTGTGAAAAGTAGCTAGCTACTAAAACAAGCTACTTAAGCTCAAGCTACAATTATAATTTTTTTGGAAAAATCTTAGCCTGCATTGTTTAGACTAGTTTCAACTTATCTCTGTACTCTGTACCTATGTCCTATGTGTCCTATTTTATTCTCGCATTCGCACTCGCACTGTGATCAAAGTGAACTTAATAAAAATGTCCAATGGTTTTTGTCAAAAATATGAAAACTGCAGTTCCTAGAGAAAATTAAAATTTTATTTCCGTATGATGATATAATGAAATTAAATTAGGTTAGTTACATTGATGGTGGCGATTGTGTACGTTTTTTTGTTTTTATTAATATAACTTTTAAAAAAGTAGCTTAAATAGTAGCCCACTAGTTCAATATGTAGTTAAGTTACCAATAGCTTAGCTATTTTTTTTAAGAGGTAGTTAAGCTACTAAGTAACTTAGCTACTTTCAAGATAAAGTAGCTAGTACCTAGTAGCTAGCTACTTTTCTCAAGTAGCTTGCCCAGCTCTGTGCATAGTATAATACGTTTTAAATTGTTTGATTCCAGAAATGGCGACTTTCAAATCATATACGTCCTAAGAGGGGTTTAAAAATAATTATAGGTAAATAAAGAGGTGAATATGTACAGGTAGTAAAGGTACATGTTTAATACTAAATTGATGAAGGAACATTATATCCAGTAGAAAATAAAGCATAAAAAATGCACCATTCGAAAAAAATTAACCCACTGGCTAGGCTCGTGGGTTAAACTTTCTTCTCATGGGTAAATAATTTAACTTACTTCGTGTGTATAAATAACTATTATTTTATAATTATTTTTTACCCCTCTTAAGATGTCTATGGTTCAAAAGTGGCCATTTCTGGAATCGTATAATTTAAAACGTATAATACTACAATCATACTATGATGTTCTAAAATTCACCAAGTAACAGAAAAAATTAGACTGTATAAGGTTCGAGCAATTATTTAACATATGACGCAACTTCAAACGACTGTAACGCAAAAAAGCGAATTTTTAGAACTTTGCGCCCAGAGACACTTTTAATCTATAGGTCAAGAACTATCAATATTCAAAATTTCATGAGATTCCACTGAGGGCCAGTTCTCATAAGGTTTCTGCGGGGTCCTTTGTCAACATCTGCTACCTCAATTTGCCAGATTATTGATTTTGCTGAATTAGGTTAAAGTTAATGACACTGAGCTAGATTTCGTCAGCTTAAATTAAGACATTCTTTTTTTTTCAGCTGCAGTTCTGGCCAGTCAGCAAGCGGCAGCAGTGACAGTAATAAACCCGTACCCGACCAAATGAAATTCGAGTAACGCTGTTCCCGAGGGATCGAAAACGAGATGAAATTTAACCAGTGTATTGTAGAGTGACTTTTAAAGCATTCCAAATTGATGTGTCTTGTTAATATAATTATTATTACCAGAATAGTATGCACCCGCTCATTATTGCATCTTTTTCGATCGTTGATTTTCTTGAAATGGAACCATATTTGAATGGTGAAACCAGAATTTAATACAATGATTGTTAGCATGATTAGAGATGTCGTTACAATAATGGTTATTTGTAAAGAAAAAATTACAGCTTCTTCGGTTGGGACAATGACTGTGTATTGAAGTTTTGAAATCATACAGCCATTTTTGAAGAAAAAAGTTTTTAGACATATTCCACACACAACAATACGTAAACACTTTGAAGTTTTTCCCAATAATCGTTAATGTATAATTTGAAAACTTTATTATACGATTATAAACTTTTCATTCAAGTAAGCTGTGCACCATTTGAACTTAAATCTATCTGGTTACGTTTCGAGAAAATAATTATTTTGATATGATTTATTACATTTGTTGTTTTTTTTTTTAGAAACACAGCTGTTTTGCAATGCAAAAGTGTATTGTAACATTTACTTTTTATGTATATAGTGAAAAGGCATAATGTCTTTATCAAAAAAAAAAGTCATATAATAAGGATTAGAAGGATAAAAAAAAACAGTAGTAGACTGATAATTTTACCTTTATATTAGGGTATGTGTATTTTTTATTGTCAAATTGTTTGTCTTTTTTTATATCTATATATTTTACGCTTGAAGAGTAGGTAATTGTGTTACAATGGAATTTGAAGCTAGAAGCTCTATTTCAGTGAAAAATCACAAACCAGTGGGTGAGGTTTGGTCAGAGTTGGAACAATCCATCTGATCCAATTGAAACCAAAATTTTCATTTATAGAAGATTGTAATTGTATAAAATTCAAATTGACTACATAGTTGAATTTTGCCTCATTTCAGTTTTATTGAAACAAGGGCCTTTGTTTTTTTTTTTTTGTAATAATTTTCATTATAAAAAATTGCAGTCTGTACAACTTGTAATTATTCTGTAAATACGTTTTGAAATATCAACATGACAAAAAAAAAAACGCAATTATTGTGTAACGTTCTAAACATTAATTTAATAAATGTGTATATTAATTTAGGGCTTTTTTTATTGTTACAATTAAATGTTTTATTATTTAATAATTCGTAAGACTATTTTTAGTTGTAGTGTATATTGTGATAATTAATACAAATATTTAAAATTAGTTCGGTATTAATTAATATGGCGGAATTCTTAGGATGGCAGCAGAAAATTACCTTCTTGTACAGACTACGAGAGGCTTCGATGTAAAGTTGCTTAATAAAAATCATTGATAGACTTGGAGGGTTTCATTTTCATCCTTGAGTATTCAGATTTCAGGAATGCACAATAACTGCTCATTTGTTTATTCCTTGCAATAAGACGATATACGTTAGGGCGGTCGAACCAAACTGAAAAAAAAAAATCTTTGACAATGATTGTAATCAACAACAAATAAAAATAAGTTCTATAAAAACAAGACAACAGAATAACCACAGCATTTCACTCATTAATAAACTGTTTCATGTAAAATAATGACTGAATTGATAGAGTAGATTTCACTCATTACTTTGATTAACTAATAATTAAACTGTAAAATTCACTCATTTTCAGATCAGAATCATACTTGAACGACTATTTATAATTTAGGTTCAAAAGTGTGTAAAACTTTGAAGGACGAGCGAAGCGAATTCCGCAGCATTTCACTCATCAATAAACTGTTTCATGTCAAATATTGATCCAAGTTTACATAAAGGAGCATTTTATTTCGTAATCTGTTACAGTCCCAGTCGCGCTTGCCCCGAAAGTATGTCTTTGCGTGTGGAATAAAAACGCGTGTGAAAACTAAAAGTATATAGTGAATTTCCTATTATTAAATTGTACATTTCAGAGTTCAGTAATGCTGTAGCTTAAAAGGCAAAACAATTTCTGAATTAAGTGGTACGGTGCTGGAGTATATCATATCTAACTACATTCCTAAGATTCAGATTGTGCAAATCTGTATATAACTCCAATACACTGGGAACAGGAATGTTCGACATTTTTTGTTATTCTTTTATTTAAACTGAAATCGAAAGATTTTGTTATTAAAAACCGATGATAAAAAAATTTGAGCGCAAAATATTAATATTTGCGTTTGTTGCGAACAATTAAAAATCAACGAATGGCGTTAGGATAAAAAACGTACCTGTACGCGAGTCTAGGCTGCGTGACGTCAGTAGCCAGATACGCCATGTGAATTCGTATACTCTCCGTAGGCGTTTACACAAACGCTGATCCGATTAACCCAATCACCACCTGATGTAATTTGTTTTTTTTTCAATCATGTTCATTGAAGAAAGATGAAAAACAAACAGTTTGTGATCGGATCAGCGGAGGTCACTAGTATACAGGTTGAATAGTGGGGAACTCCACATCTCATTGTTACCTACTTTGACCTAGCTCCGTCCAGTTCGATCATTTGTGTTCTTGATTCAAAATAGCTCGAAAACCACTGGCATACTCGATCAGAGAAACCATAATAGCCCATTTTTGCAATAAGCAATTGATGATTATTCAAATCGAGAATCGAGCGCTTTGCTGTGATCCTGGAGCACTAAGCAAGAGACCATCGAGCAATCCATATTTGTTGCAATATTTGTCGTTACTTTGGTAAGTGCCGTTGCTGGCTATGATTTTTACGAAATCCAGATTGATTCGCTAGCAGAATATTCTTGTCTGCTGTATTCCAGGATCATGTCCGATACCGCTGACTCTAGCATTTTGGCAAGGATTGGAAGAAGATAAATTGGCCTTAGCTCTGAGAAATCCTTCACCTTGGAATTTTTTGTGAACGGTTTGACAACGGTACATTTCCAGAGACTCGGTACTTCACAAAGCAGATATTGAATATTTTAGAGATCACTGGGGCCATAAAGTCTATACTAAAGAGTATCATGTTATAGCTTAGCTAATCGACGCCCATGCTGTTTGATTTGATTCGAGAAAAAATTTGATACACATCCTCATCAGTAATGTCTCTGAACCTGAACTCGTCAGTTATGAATAGATGCCAGCTTGTTACTTAGATAATACCCAAGCGTGACATTATCCACCGGAGCAGCTAGTTGACTACCGAAAGCATCAATGATCCTGTTTACATCTTTTAGGTGACTGGGTACCTATGTCATTATTACCTTTAGAGTGAATGTTGCTTTTGATTTTCGACCACACCTTTTTGGGCTTTTTTGCGATTTTTCTAGTTCAAATGACATAGAAGCTTGTTTCTCACTCCGAATTGCAAAAGAAAGGAATTTCTTCAAATCCAGATAGTAGTTTTTATGTGCAGTCCAGTATGTTTAAATTTATTGAATGCCTTTTTCTTTAATTTCTTTGTTTGTGTCAGTGATATAAGGCCTATATTTACGCTCAATTTGCACTGTCTACACAGGAGCATGCTAGTCAAATATTCTAGTTAAATGTTGGTTGAAAAGGCATATTTTGGTATCAAGGGCTTCTTGCTGCAAAATGTTGTCAAAGTCTATTAGTTTCATATCTTCTTCAAATTGTTGTTTATTAAAGTGTTTGAAACTTCTGTATGTAATTGATTTTGATGCAAGTTTTGGTGCTTCTATTTCCAGTTTTGAGTAAACCAGTCAGTGGTCTGTAAGGTTAAGCATATCTATGGTACCGGAAGTTAAAATATTTTATTTTCAACCACATATGTAATGTTGACATTGCAGGTTTTTCAAAATCTTGAAAGTGTCACATTTCTGGACTTTGACATTTATCGGGACGGTAATGCATATGCCTGCCTAGGACGGAAAAGCATTTTCCGTCCGGGACGGCAAATGCTTTTCCGTCCCCATTTCCCTGCTCGTTCCAAATTGATAATTTTCATACAGCTCTCACATATAATAATAAAACCACATGTATTACATGGAACTAATTAAATCTATTCACTTATTTACATTAATTGTTAAATTAGCATTGTTGTTTATAATGGAAATCTTGAGACCATCCTGTTGGAATTGTGTTTCGTTTGGAACTATTATCTCTTGCGCTTGCGGATGAGTTTCCGCATGTGATGTACTTGTGGATGCACTGGACAACTGAATACCTTTGGAAGTAGAGGATAGCATCAGAGCAGTCTTACTTTTGTTCTCCAAAGATGCCTCTATGTAGCCTTCAGCAACCGTGCTCGATTTCCACCCTCCCAGTCTTTTGAGTTGCAATAGATCGGCCCCGTTGTCAACCAATAAGGTTGCGGAAGTACGACGAAAAGCATGCCCTGTAAAAGTTTCAATTTTTGGAAGCTTCAAAAAAGCAGCTATTTTATGTGGAAATTTTGAGATTGAATGATAGCCAATTGCTTGGTTATGTAATTTCCCATTTCGCCATTGAACAAATAACCTGTCATTTTTCAAATTTTTCCGCAAAGTGAGGTATTTGTGGAAAATAGCAACCCAATCTGGATCGCTTATGATAAACGATCGACTTGTGTAAGTTTTTGTGTGTGGAATTTCTATAGCGATCTTTCCTTCCAAAACGTTGACGTGCTCCATTTTCATCTTGACTAGTTCATCGCTCCTACATGCACCCGACACACCAACAATTAGCGCTACCTGAAACCAGATAAAAATAAAATGGGTAACCTAGCTATAGCATACAGAAAATCATTTTGATTTTCGCATTTTTATCTTCTTTGTATATTTTTTGAAAACCTACCTTGATGCTAATGAATTCTTCAGCTGCCTTCGTGAGGAACTCGTTAATGTTTTCTCTGGAAAAAACGCTCGACTTTTTCGGCTGAAAGCCCAGATTTTGCCGCTTCAAAAAAGCTATAAGTTTTGCGTAATTGGAGATATCAACTTTCTCTTTCAATTTAATCATGGTTTTCAACATACTGTAAGTCGACCATAAAGTCGAAGGCTTCTTTTCCTTAGATAATTCGCCAAAATACGCCAACAAAACGGTCTCCGAGGCAGTATTTCTCGTTCCTTTCTGGCTACACCATGCTTCGAATATTTGAAAAGCCTTTTCGTACCGAAATTTGCTTTTTGCTGGAAGCAAACTCTCTCCAATCCTGTCTGCTGCTTCTTTTAATTCAGGTGGGGTACAATCCATCGCTTCATCTTCACTTTCCGAAATCATTTCTTTGGGGAGAACGGGGAGAAATCTAGTGAAAATCTATTATTTCCGCAAAAATACTGAGCGAAAACTACCGTCGTTAAGGCGTTGTTGATCTTATCTATGGTTGTTGATTTTGCGGTTTCCTGTGGTTTCGTCTTTTGTTTTGGCCTTTACAGGGCCTTTGAGATCGTCAAAATTGATGACATTGACAAAAAAAGTGAAATATTTTTTTCTAAGGCCAGTTTTACACTATATGAAAATTTCGTATAACAGAATCTTTAGTTTTTGCATCAGAAAATTAAGGGTTGAAAATAAAAAAGTATACAAACCTCGACGGAAAACTTCATTTCTGTCTCGAGGTTGAGTTTATCTCGACGCTTCGCGTCTCGATAAACTATAATAACCTCTCGACCAGCAATGAAGTATTTTCCGTCTCGGATTGTAATATACTATAGTCTGTTGTCTACACAAATTATATCGATCAGGCTGCAACTATTTCTGCTTATTCTTGTCCGGTCTGTAACAACTTGCTTTAGGCTAAACATTTGTAGCAATGACTCTACATAGTTGCTTTCTACATTTCTAACTAATAGGTTTATATTTATGTCGCCTAGCAAAATTACATAATCATATGACACTGCTAGAGATGATAATATGCTTTCTAAACAAGTGAGGTGATTGTTATTCACCAATGGTGGCTTGTACAGCACACCAAGTGATATTGACATAACTTTTTTATTGAATGTCAATCCACAATTGCTTAAGTAAGTTTAATGTAGGTATCCAACATTGGTGAAATATCGATTACACTGCTCTTCATGCAAGCTGAAATATATGCATAAACTCCTCCTCCTCGGGATAGATGATCAGCAAGATGAAGCTGCTATAACCATTACCATTGCAATAATATGGAATTTTTTCATCTAGCAACAGTTCACTCACATCTTAAAACGAGGGAACAAGAGACCTTATATTTACATGACATATGTAGAGATTATGAGAGTGAGTTTGGGTTAGTTACATTCTTTTGTATTGTGTCCTTGGTACTATTTATATCTATAAAAAAAATTACCTCCTCTCTCTAGGCCAGGAATTTTTCCTAAGTTTCTCAGAAAATCCCTGTGCTTGTTGAAGTTAAATCTTCCCACTTTGATGTATCTTGGGCAGAAAGAACTATTATAATACAATTCGTCTTTTTTTTCTAGGGGAGCAATGACAAGAAATGCTTTCAGTTGGTCTTCTTCTGTGGAAATCTCATACACTGTGATTTGAATACCTTGATATCCATCTTTGTCTTGAACGTAGTTTTCTATTATTTCCTCATATAAATAGTTCTTTTGACTCTGCTTATGTAGAGCTACGCTCTTCTATCTCCACGTTCGAAGTTTGGTTCTGTTTTTCCAGTACCGAGATTTTCACGCCTTGTTCGTCTTTTATCGTTCACCAGTTGAAAGGATTCCTGCTGTGAGTTCGATCTCTCAAGTCCAGAGTTCGAGGAATCCCACAGGACTTTCAATTGGGTGCCGTAAGTTCATCTTAGGGACATGCAAACTAAAACTACTATTAGAATCGCCTGTGCCTCTTCCGGTGTTGTC